GGGACTCAGAGTGGGGTCACCTGGCAGGGGCCGGGGAATGGGAGCGGGGGACAACAGGGGAAGACCCACAAGAAGTTGGCAGTTTTCATCGTATCTGGGGAGGAGATACTCAGGGGAGAACACAACAGCTGCAGCAGCAGAGAGGTATAAAGCATTATGCATGGGCAGTGAATACTCAGGGTACTGCCATGCGTGGGGTCATGGATCCTTACAACCTTCCCAGTAGCACAGGACCCCACTGTGTGGATAGGGACACAGTGCAGAGATGTAGCAGCGCCAGACCCCAGACTGGACTTCTGCCTTCACCTAGGAGAGCCCCGAGTGCACACGGGCAGTTAGGGGTCACTGAGGAGCCGCTGGTGGGCAGGGTCACACCCGTTGGGTGGAACAGGCAGCTGCCTTCCAGTCCAGAGGCCAGAACAGACGAAGCTCATTCTAGAAAATGTATACAGAGACGCCACACACAGGCTCCTCCCAGTCTCGGGGGCCTTGGCGCCTCAAGCAATCCCTGGGCCCCAAGAACCATAGTCCTCCAGCGTCACCCTGGGAATGAAGGCCGTTGCAGGAAGCAGACCCAGCAGCCCAGACACGCGATGACCAGTGCGGTCACCCAGGGGTCTTCCGAGGCTGCGATGCCGCCCAGCCCAGCCTGAATCCAGAGCAGCCGCTTCAGTATCGGCCCCTTTGGCGGCTTCCCCTTCCTCAGCAGCGCGCACTGGGGCTTCTCTTAGGAGGCAACTGCACACACCTGATGCCCAAAGAGGTCCGTGGGACTAGTCCAACCACCGCAGTGGTAGGAGTGGGCTGCCCAGGCCTGCACCTGGGAGGTCATGCCCACACTGCGCAGGGTCCGGAGAGGCAGCGAGTTCCTTAGCTTCTCAATGCCTTCCAGGTGCCCAGAGGAGCCCTGCTCTGGGGGAACGGTCTGGCAGCTCAGTGGTTTGTGTCCTGCAGGACTCAAGGTAGCATCACCATCCTGAGGGCTTGTTCCTGTGTGCCCCACCCCAGCACCCTGCCGGTGGCCGGCCCACACCCCTCCCTGGCACCATCTCTAGCTCTAGCCACTCACCCCGCAGTCCCTGTCCATTCAGATGGCCAGCCCCAACCCTCCCCAGGACAACAAGACCTTCCCAGGCCACCCCCACCCCCACCCAGCCTCAGCCCTTCCCAGAGGGCAGCCCTCTCCCTCAGGTGGCAGTGTCACCAGCATCCTGGGAGCAGCCACCCCACCCCTTTCCCCCGGCGTGGGTCCCTCTGCTCTTCCTTGGTGGCCTCCTTCAGTCAAATGTCTGAAAGCGGGTGTGAGAGGCGGGCAACCTACAGCCATGAATGCACACAGGCAAGCTCAGTGAGGGGTCTCCTCCCCAGAGGAGGGAAAAAGAACCCACTTGAGAAGAAATTTGGGTTGAGGTCCCCCACCCCCACCCATGAGCCTCCACAGCCCCAGCACAGGCCGGCAGGCCTTGGGAGAGCCCTCGGGTGTTGGCTTCGCTTCTGCTGAGCGCCAGCCTCTGGTCTCCCTGCCCGGCCCCACCAGGACGCTCCTGCTACAGACAGAGAGAGGTACTAGGTTTATTGTGTAGCTTTTTTAATGAAACTAGATCGCTGCTGACAAAACCCTGAAGGCACATGGGTGCCCCCTTCACAGTCCCTTACCCTCCCCTGTCCCGGCCCAGGGGACTGGACACTCGGGGGTGGGCAGGCAGCCTGGACAACTCAAGGAATGCTGTTGGGGAAGGGTTCTGGGCCGAACCCTGAGCCCAGAAGGGGCAGGAGGCCATGTGGAGTAGGGTGGTCCGTTGCCAGAGGCTGCCCCTCAAAGCTGAGTGAAATGATGTGAACACCCCGTACGCTCCCTTCCTCCCCACCCCCAGCCCTAACTACCCCACTACTGTGATGTGGCCCCACTGTCGGGTGGGGGGAGGGGTGGTGGTGACAATGGTGATGGCCTACAGGCTATAGAACTTGAGGCTCCTGTCCATGCCTGTTGACGCGATGAACTTGGCGTGGTGGCCAAAGGCCACCCCTGTGGTCAGGCCGCTGTGCTCTGCAAGGGGACAAGGGGCAACAATGGGACTTCCCTGCCTCCCGCCTGAGCCCTCAGCTCCTGGACCCTTCCCCCCTCCCCTCCCCTCCATGCCAGCGACTGGCTCAGTGCAAGCAGCCAGAGCCTCTGGCGGAGGTGCCCCCACTCCCCTCAGTGCTGCTGTAGCAGCCCACCACAAAAGGCTCACTGCCCCTCTTTTCCTCCAAACTTTTTTGGCTTAAGGTGGAAGTTCACATAGCAAATTAGTTTCCCGTTCAATGACTGACATACCATTTGTTCTGCTGACCTTGGCCCAGCCCACCCAGACATCCCCCTTCCCTGGGCCCCGGCCCTGCGGGCAGTCCCACCTGTGAAGTGGAGGAGCTCGGTCCACTGTTTGCAGATGTATATCTGGACATCTGTGCCCCCCAGAGCCAGGTAGGTACCGCTCTGGTCAAAGATCAGTGACTTCACCTGCCGGAAGGGAGAGAGGGCTCACACCTGGGAACCAGCACTCAGGGGCGACCCAGTGACCCGGAGGGCGGTGGTGGCCAAACCTCAAAGTTGTTGTCCAGCTGCAGCGTCTTGAAGTTCTTCAGCTTGCGCAGATCCCAGAGCTTGACGGAGGAGTCGTCGGCCGCCGTGGCCAGGTAGTAGCCGTTCTCCGAGAAGGCAATGCTGGTGATGGGGCCCGAGTGGCCTGGGAAGTTGGCCACGTTGGTGCGCTCCTGCAGGGCAGGGAGAGGAGGTCCAGAATGACAGCACCAGCCGGAGAGGGGTGGGCTCGGCACACCAGACCTTCAAGACGGCCCAGCCCCAATCAGCACTCCTTATCCTAGGAGGCTCAGGTGTGACCTACCTTCAAGTCCCAGATCTTAATCTGAGAATCCATGGTCCCTGTTCCAAAAATGAGTCCGTCCGGGTGGAACTGTGCACAGGTGAGAGCTGTGGAGGGGCATGGGCAGGTGGTCAGGGCCTTGTACATGCCTGCTCTTCATGCTCCTCACAGGCCGTGGATGAACCAGGGTGCAAGACTGGACAGGCTAGTGATGACCAGGAAGCGCCAGGAGCTGGCGGGCACTTACAGCAGCCAGAGGTCTCATCTGTCACCTTGGTGAGCACACGGCCGGTCTGGATGTCCGAGAAAGCCCAATACTGGAAGAGCAGGGATCACGACACCCGTGAGAAGGTGGGGGCCACAAGCCAAAGTGGCTCCTCGCCCTCTCCCCCGCCTCCCCCAGGTCATGCTCTGGGACAACAGACCCCCTGGGAACAACCCTACTGGCCCACACCTGGTCATCAGAGGAGCTCAGGAGATAGTCGCCAGTGGCGTGGAGGCTGAGGCCAGTCACAGCGCTCTCATGGGCCCGAACCACCTGGACACAAGAGGTGCTGGGGACGGACCAAATCCTGATAGTGGCATCCGGGGAGGCAGAGAACACCAGATCCTGGAAGGGAGGGAGCGCAGAAGCAGAAGATCAGGGCTTGGAGGGTTCCACCCACTGCCAGCAAGAGGGCCAAGGCAAATGCCATTCAGCGGAGACCCCCGCCCCCTCGTGACAACAAAAGAAGACAGCCAAAGCTGTTTCCAAGAGCCACGGAGGGCCTGTGGCTGGAGCCGTGGTTCCAATCTCCCTTTAACCCATCTGTTCTCAGCCTGCCCCAGCTCCCGCCCGCAGCATGGAGGAAACACCCAGTCACCAGGCTTATCCCGGGTCTGTAACTATCTGCCAGGCAGGTATCCTCTGCAGCTGGTGTGATGGATCTCACTGCACTGGCTTTTTCATGTCTTGTCACCCCTCCACCCCAACCCTGCTGGAAGACCACTGCTTGGTGGGCTTACAGAAAGGCAGCAGCCTCCAGGCCTCCCAGAGCCCCCAGGGGCCAGCGGGGAGTTACCTGGGAAGGGTGAAACACCACGCTGGTGACTTTCTTCGTGTGGCCTTTGAGGGTGGCCAGGATCTGCTCGGAACTCTTGTCGAAGACGACAACATTTTTATCTGCCCCACCTGGAGAAGGACCCCGGTGAGACTCCAGCTGGGCAGCCCTGTGGATGTCAGAAGCTGCCGTGCACCTCCCACCTTCACCCCAGTCCACAAGGTCAGGCCCCGGCTCTTACCAGTGAGGATCTTGTTGGTGTCCGAGGGGCAGAGGTCCAGGGCCAGGATCCCCGGAATGCTAGCACTGTGCAAGCCCTTCAGAGAGAGTGCCGCGCCAGCCGGTCACGGCCAGAGCCCCTCCTCCACCCCTCTCCCCCCAGTCCAGGAACGAGGGACTTCAGCACTCTGCCTGGAGGCCCACCACCTCACTGGCCCTCAGGGAAGCCCAGAGCCGGCAAGAAGGGCAGCCCTGACGATGGGCTTCTCCATGCTGGCCTGCCCGCCCGACACCAGGGGACAACGGGGCGGACACTCACCACGTGAGACGCCACCTGCCGGTATTTGCTGAGTTCTTCCGGCTTCACCAGCTCCTCAGGCACAGTCTTTCCTCTCTGAGAACGAGCACAGCCGTCAGCCATGCCCCCCCCTCCAACGAGGCCAACTTCCCACCCAAGCCCGCCCTCTGGTGCCAGGCCTTACCTTCTTACGCTCCGTGGTGAGCACAGTGGCCTTGTCTTGAAGCTGGGGGAGGGAGAGGGCACAGGCCACGTGAGAGCAGGGCTTGGCCAGGCCCAGCTGAGGGCTGGCTGACACACTACCGCCTTCCCTCCGCCAAACCCCATAGGGTGGGCAGCCGGCCAGCCGCGGGGCATGTGAGCCAGCACAGTGACCAGGCCTCTGCCCAGCCCCAGAGGCAAGCGCCACGGTGCACAAGGTCAGCCCCTGGAAAAGGCCGGCTCGCCCCTCAGATGGGGTGTGTGGGGGGAGCCATGGAGTCCGGCCCAAGCTCTGCTGAGTGTCAGTTTGGTCATCAGTAAGCAAGAGGCGGCCACCTCGGTCTGTCTCCCTCGCAGGAAAACATGAACCCAGAAAACCGACACAAGCCCCTGGCCCTGAGCGACACCAGGACACATCTGACGAAGTAGGAAGCCTGAGAAGCTGAGGGGGGGCTCAAACCACCCACCTTTCAGTTGACAGCTGAGCACTTGCCACTGTGCCACCAGCCTCCTTGCCGTCTGATGGACGGCTTCGCTGACTGCACTCAGGAAGGGCAGTGACAGGACAGCTCAGCGCTGCCCCAGTGGACCCCAGCCCCTTCCGGTGCCACAAGGAGCCCGAGAGCAGGCGCCGCTTCTCGTCTCAGAAGCACAGGGAAGGGCTGGGTGGAGCCCAGCTTAAGAAGGGGCTGTGCCATCTAAACCACTGGGCAGGCCCCACCCACACTCACCTTCTGGATAATCTCGGGAGTCATGCCCACCAGCTCGCCTAGGTCCATCAGCTCGCCTGCACCCTGGGGAGAGGACGGGAGTAGGTGACAGGTCAAGGCAGCCTGAGCCACTTGCCAACTCGTGCCCAAGGGCTGGGGAAAGGGGTGCCGGGTTACTCACCACGACGCTGGGCTGCGAGCTGGGTACTGCCTGGGGCACGATGAGTCCAGCCTGTGGCTTCAGGGTGGCCAGCGCTGAGGAAGGAGGCAGAGTCAGCCCCGTGGCAAGCCCAGGCAGGCCCAGCATGGGAGTGGGGACAGGGGGGGTGAGGTACCTTCTCGGGCAGCAGTGACCTCCTTGGTAAGCCGAGCGATGACGCGGCAGGCAGCGTCATGCTGGTATAGCGCGTGGGACAGCTCCTGGCGCGTGGTCTGCAGCTGCTGGCGCAGCGTGAAGCTATGCAGCATGACAGCATCCTGGGGGAGCAGACACCCATGAGGCAGTGCCCTGGTCCCCGCCTCCCACTGAAGTCAAGACTGGCACCACTGACCACGCTGTGTCAGAGCCTGCAGATGCTACCAGGCACCCCACCCCAGGCAAACTCAGGGCACGGAGGCAGTGGGAGCCAGTGTGCGCCCACCCCATCACCTGTCACATTGTCACCTCACCTACCACTTGTCGCCCTCACTGTGCCTAGCGCTATGCTGAACAGGCCCCCTGGGGCTGGGGACCCACTGAGGAGTCAGACAAACCTGTGGTTACAGAGGTTACTCTATAATCGGACCCAAACCAAAAAAAAAAAACCAACCCCACTGTTACCAGTTCTGACTCAGAGCAGCCCCACAGAGGGCTCCCGGGACGGAGAACCGCCAGCAGCTGGTGGGTCTGAACTGCCAGCCTTCTGGTGAGCAGCCCTGTGCCTAGCCCCGGGGCTCCTGATAACTGACCTCTAGCCCTCACAAAGCCCGACAACAAAATGAAAAGCCCCACCGGTCAGGAACCCGGGACTTGGAGGCCGAGCGGCTGGCCTGAGGTCACATGACTTGTAAGTTTGAAGCCCAGGTCTGAGTACTTCAACTCCCAGCCTCTTCCTCCCCTGTTGCTCCACCCTCAGAAAAAACGCTGACTCTCCAGCCCCCCACCCCTCGGTCCTGGGACCCGTCGTAGTCGTCACACAGGGAAGGTGCCAGCACCCTGGGGGCAACTTACCCACTCATCCTGCAGGGCCTTCAGAATGGCCGGGATGCTGGTAGCAGAGGGCGGCTTGGGCCGGATCGGGTGAGCAACTGGCGGCCAAGAGGGAAAGGGAGATGAAGAACCGTGGCCGGTGGCCTCGTCCTGTCCCTGCCCTCCCCCCTCGGCTCCCCTCCCAGGTCCCCGTCTCGGGCCAGCGGGCACCTTTTATGTCAATCAGCTGCTCCTCGGACAGAGGCTGGTTGTTGATGGGGTCGGTGCCATTCTCGGCAATGTACTTCTCAATGAGCCGCCGCTCGTACACGTGGTTAGAGACGGGGGACACACACGGGTGCTCTGGCACTTCGTTGGAGACTGTGGGGAGGGGGTCAGGTGAGTACGGGGCCCAAGCAAAGCCCAAGGAGACCCATGGCCCCACACTCAACAAACACAAAACAAGGCCTGCGACAAACCCCCCTTTCTTCTATCCCCAAAATGCTTTCCAGCCGACATAAACGGCTTCTCCGTCCGCTGCGCCCCAACAGGCGGATGTTAGGAGCCATCACGTCCATCCTGTCTCTTAGCGACCTCGGGTGCAACCGAACTAGGGCGGTCTGCACGATCCTTCGGAACAGGCCAGGGCCAACTTGTAGAACGGACCATCAACTGCTCATAGGCACGCTGGAGGTCAAGGGAACGCCAACAGGTCCACGAGAGCCAAAAGAGAGCCTTGAGGATGTCCCACCTGAACTGAGAGACCACCTCGAGAACAGACAACAGGTGGAAGATGAGTCAGTGAGCGAGAGTCACGGGAGGACACCAAGGAGAACACCAGGCCTGGAGAAAGCAAAGGGCCACTCAGGGGCAGGAAAGAAAGGAGACCTCAGGGGGTGTTGGAGATGCTGACGCTCGCTCTCCCCCAGAGAAATGAAAGGAATGAAGGGAGGAGGAAGTGGAAGAGCGGAGCAGGTTTCAAAGGGCAGTCTAAGAAGTCAAAGTAAAGCATTACAGTGAGAGGTGCTAAGACCCGGAGTTAAAAAACCAAAATGGAAGAACTGAAGAAAACACTCAAAGTCTAGAATTGCAATACTGAAGGATTGTGGGGGACCAGACTCCACAACCGAATGGATTCTAAGGGCCAGTGTATAATTAAAGGGTAAATTCAAGAGACATCAGACAAGGCATGCAGGGGCTCACCTTTTCCAATGACAGGATCGAGAGAGCAAACATAGCCTCTCACAGGCTTATATAATTCTCAGGCATGCAAGCCACACCATACACTTACGTAACAGGAAGGGGACATGCTAGGGACACACACACAACAGGAAGACACAGACATAACAAGATGGGCAGGTTCTAGAGTTCAGATGGTGGCTCGCCACTGAGCTGGCTTGGCCTTCGATGTCCCTGAGCTCTTCTCCAGAAGTTAGGGAGAGACAGACAATAGGCTCTGATACCTGATGGTCTGAGGTCAGATAGCCCGCCAGCAGCTAACCTGCAGGCTACAGTAGCAACCACGTGCTTACAAGCAGCCTCTTAAAATTGGCATTATTATGGGGGGACAGTGTGGAGGATAACTTTAGTTAGGAGAGGTGACTGGGATTCATCCCCAACTCACGAACGTGAAGACCTCTTTCCACCAGTCTCGGCCTCCCAGACTCCTGAAATATGAGCGTAGAGCATTTGTTCATACACTCTCTTCCCAGTTCTGTTTCCCACAAAGGATTATACGGCCCCAAACTTGAATGGTTCAAGAAGCATCAAAGGAAATGGAGGGATGTAGTTAGACTTGGTGTGAAGAAACCTCTCCCCACCAAAAGGACACCGCAGGATACTGCAGTTACAGCATATACCCAATAGGCGCCATGATGATCAGAGCCTATTACACTCCATTAAGGCTTTGTACACACCAGTCCCCAAGCAAATGTACTACGAAAATTAGACATGCTCAAAATATTCACAGCAAATAATCATGTTGCATTCCTGCAAATATGGTTGTTTTATACTATTATTAAAAAAATGAAATGGTGGGAATACAGCCACTATACCAAAAAGAACTAAGTCAGCCCCCAAACGGCAATGTCCAGCCATTTCAAGCAGTAGCACATGACTGGGAGTTGGTGGGAATTAAGATGCAACTCCAAAAGCGCCGGTGAAAAGCTGGGCTCCAGGAATCGGTGGACTAGCAACTGAGAAGCCTGCCAAGGAACGCAATGCTGGGAGTGCTGACCGAGGTACACCGAGGCTGGAAGCCAGGGCCACATGCGAGGCCCTTCCAGAGAAGATGGAGCCAACAGAGTATGGGAATGACCAAGCGGCATCAGTACTATTCCCAGCAAGTAAAAAGCAGTTGCAGGAGGACATCAACAGGAGAATGCCAGCTTCAAGTCCGATTCAGAAAAGGACACGGAGCCAGGGCTAACATTGCTGATGTCGGCTGGATCTTAGCAAAGAATCACAGAAAGACGTTTGCGTTTCATTGGCTAGACAAAGGCATCCAGCAGCGTGGACCACGGCAGACTATGGATGACATTAAGAAGGAAAATTCCAGGAAGGGTCACTGTGCTCAAGCAGAACCTGTGCAAGGAGACCTAGCAGCAGTTGCTCACCACACGTCATCAGTATGTACGTTGGGCAAGTCACCTAGGAAGAATGTGGCATCCGGAGCGGAGGAAGACTCGTTACCGCTGCATGACCCGCAGCCCACACAAATCCACTTGCTGAGTGCGAAGAGGATTTGAGGGACTTAAATTATGCCTATCAGAGCCTACAGCCTTCAGAAGGATTAAACCTTACCATACAGAAAGTAAAGTTTCCCACAACCGGACCAGTAAGAGCAGCAGCATGATAAGTGGGAGAAGAGATGGCAGTTGTCAAGGACCTCCTTTTACTTTCATCTACAATCTACTATCAACACTCGCGGAGGCGGCAGCACGTCAATCAACCGGCATAACGCATTGGGAGAATCTGTGAGAAAGCTCTTCTGAGGTATTAAAAAGTGAAGCTGTCACTTTGAAGACTGAGGTGTACCTGACCCAAGCCATGGTCTTTTCAATCAACTCATATGCAGGCAAAATGGGGCAGTGAGCAAGGAAAGCCAAAGAAAGAGCAGATGCATCTGAATTAGTGTCAGAGAGGAGTATTACAGCTATCAGGAAGAATGAACAAGTCAGTGCTGGAAGGAGGACAGCTGGCACGCTCCCCAGAGGGAGGATGATGGCGAGGCTGCCTCATGCACTTACGACATGCTATCAGGAGGGCCCAATCCCTGGCGAAGGCCATCTTGTTTGGTAGAGAGCCAGACAGAATAGTCACTGCAGAACCAGGACCCTTCAGGCACCTAGCGAGTCGTCGGTAACCACCACCCATCTCATGGGTCAAACAAAAATGCCTGTGCGGGTGGTGTGCCAAGGTGAGTCCCACTCAAAGCAACTTATTAGGAACGGGATAAACTGTCCTCCTTTATGGGAACAGCCAGCCTCATCTTCTCCCGGAGGGCCTTGCTGGTGGGCTGGAATCTTGACCTTGTGGTCAGTAGCCTCCAACTGACCCACGGTACCGCCAACATGCCACCCAGGCTCCTGGAGAGACATTCCAAGCCACTCCAATCCCAGCCCTCAGTAGATGATGCAAAAAACATTACTAAGCAATGTGTCAAGTGCTCTAATAAAAAATAAACTACCACGTCCATGATGTTGCTTAGGCTAAAGGCTCTGCCTCCGTTAAGTCACCCTCACAAGTGGCACCCGAGGCATCATTTCCGTGCCTGCCCTTTCCAGACTGCCTGTCCTGGAGCAGAGGGGAGGGACGGGGCAAACACCTGACAGATGAGTGACTTGGTGGTGGAGGGCAGGAGAGAAAGGACAGAACCCGTCTGACAGCAAGGAGCCTTCTGTGCACTTTCTCCCGGGTCTAACGGGCTTTTCTTCCCATGTCCGGGATCCCTCGTTTGGCTCCTTTCCCTTCCTGGGGTTATCAGAGAGGTTGGAGGGAAAAAAGGAATGGCTTAAGGGGTAGGAAGCAAATGGAGAAAGGGGTGGAAATCGGAAAACCTGATGCAAAGATGAGTTGTGAAAGGCAGCCTTACCACCCTCAAATGGCAAGCCATCGAGTTGGTTCCGACCCATAGCCCGACCCACAACAGAGGCAAACACGGTCTGCCTCTGGGCAAAAGCAGGGAGGTGGAGCCGGGGAACCTGACTCTGGGCCCCACGTTGCGCCCAGGAACCTCGGGTTAACATTCTCTCCGAGCCTCCTTTTGGCCTGTAAAACCAGAGTTTTTAATGTCGGCTTGGGAAACCCTTGGGAGGATAAACTGAGATCATAAGCTTGGGAGCCCTGCTGCAAACCACAAAGGGCCTTAGAAACCCGCGCTGTTTCCTCCCTTTTTTTGTCTCTCTGCCTCCAACAAGCCGCGTGACCTTCCCAAAATCTGCAGAGGCTCCGACCACCCGAGCGCGCTCGGACGGCAGCCAGCGCAAAACAAAACGAAACACCTTCCCAGTGAGGAAGGGGAAACTGAGGCCGGGGCGGGGGCGAATAGAACCACATCACAAAGGTAACTAGAGGCGGATTCCGAAGAGGCCTGGGGCCCCCTGCCTCCTACGTCAGAGGTGCTTCCCCTGCACCAGCTCCCGCGGGCCAGGCCTCGGTAAATGACGCTGGGGGGCGGGGGAGGGTGCAGCGATCCCCGCGGAGCACTGCGCAATGGCACCCGGCGCCCCAGAGGGGAAGACCCCCGTGCTGACACGCCGCCGCTCCAAGCCCCGGGCGCCCGCTTCCCGCCGCCCCCAGCCCCCGGCGGCTGTGGCCGTCGGCCGTGCACGCTCTCGCTCCGCTCTCCGGCCTCCCGCCACCCGCGAACGGCCGCAGCCGCCACTCACTGGAGCAGATGAGGGACATGGCGCCGTCACTGCGGTCCGAGGCGCCTTACGCCGGGCTCCGGGTCTGCCTTCGCAGCCGCCGCGGGCCACTTCCGGCTCCGCGCTGTTTCCGGGTCGTCTCGCGGGGAGCGGGGAGCAGCCCCTCGAAGAGATGACCGCGCAGCGATTCACACCGGGACTGGGGACGGCCTCGCGCCGCAGCCTGCTCTGCTTAACGGAAACGGCTCTCTCCCAGAATGCAACGGGGCAGGAAAGGGCCCGCCACGGAGCGCTCGGCTATTTCCGGAGTGACTCGTCTTCTTCCGAAAAGCCCGCCTAAAACTACATTTCCCGTGGTGCAACGGGACCATTAAAGCCCTCGTGTTCAGCTCGGGGGACTTGGTGCTGGGTCGGGTTTCCCAGCTTTCGTGTGCGCCAGAATCTCCTAATGAGTTTATTAAAATGCACATGGCTGGGGTAGGTCTTAGAAAGGCTGCGTTTAAAGTTATGGCCCCTTGTGACTGAGATGCATAGAGAAACTACCATTGAAAGCAACTATTCTAATCTTGCCTCTTATTACTTTGCTCTGTGACCTTGGTTGTCATTGGTTTATTTGTCGCTTATTTTTCTAGGTCGCTTCCAGCTCAGATAAAGATTCCGGTAGCTCTTTGTGAGATAAGATACACTCAGGAATCCCGTAGAGGGCAGGCATCAATTTATGTGTGGGCTACAAAGGATCCTGGCAAGGACGACAGTAGGGCGACGAATTGGTGTCGTTTTTCCTTCGAAAAAAATTTTCCTTGCAAAACAATGTCTTCCCATGCCAAGAGTTGAACGAGGCTGGGCTCTGACAGGTGGGCACTATTCTAGGAAGAGAAGCAGCATCAGCAGAGGATTAGAAGAACAAACGACCGCAGGCATAGGGCATGGCGGGACAGGGCAGCTGTTTGATTCATTGAAAGTGTCAAGGATTTCATCTTGCTTAGATCCAAAATCAAGGCTCGTGGCAGCAGCCATCAGGAAATCAAAGGACACCTTGCATTGAGGACATCTGCGGCACAAGACTTCTTTAAAGTGTTGAAGAGCAGAGATGTCACTTTAAAGACTAAGGTGCTCCTGACCCCAAGCCATGGCATCTTCAATAGCCTCACCTGCATGGCAAAGGGCGTTGCCTAAGGAAAACCCACGAAGAACTGGTGCATTTAAGTTGTGGTGCAGGTGGAGAATATTGAAATGAGTTGGAACGACACGGTGGCTGCCCCAAATGGGCTCACCTTTAAGAAAGATTGTGAGGACCATATAGGACTGAGCAGTGCTTCCTGTCAACACTGACTCGGAACCTAGCAACAACCAGCACAACAAGAGAGGCCAGAAGCCTGCTAAAAAGATGGCATCTATGTACATCAAAAGAGTAAAATGAGAACCCCTAGATTGGGGGGAAAATATTTGGCAATGATATTTCAGATAAAGAGTAAATATAAAAAATCTATAGAAACTACAACACCTTAACAAGAAAAATACAAATAACCTAATCATAAAAGGGCACAAGACATGAATAGACAATTTACTAAAGATGACCTCCAGGCAGCCAACACACATGTGAAGAAGTATTTGCGTGTATTAGCCATACGGGAGCTACAAATTAAAAAACAATGAGATGCCACCTCACACCAACATGCTTTGCAAAATTAAATGGTAACAATCGTCAATGCTGGAGAAGACGTGGAGAGATTGGAACGCTCACGCATTGGTGGTGGGATTGCAGAATTGTATAGCCACGATGGAAAACAGTATGGCATTTCCTAAACAAATACAAATATCTTACGATCCTGCAGTCTCTCTACTTGGCATATACCCTAAAGAAATAAAGAACATGGCAGGGACAGACATGCACACCCATGTTTATCACAGCCATTCCTAGAAGCAAAAAGATAAAAGAAACAAATGGCCTAGAGAGGAATGGGAGAACAAACTGGTACACACACACAATGGAACAGTGTGCACTCTTAAAAAACTGATGGGTCTGTCAACACCTCATGACACGGACAGACGTGGAGGGCATTGTCTTCAGCAACGTTTGTCAAGCTCATGAAGACACTATTTCATGATACCAATATTATAAGGGGAAAAAGAAAAACCAAAATGGTTTTCACACCAAAGGACAAGACTTTAAAGACTACAAGGAGGCCAGGGCCAGGGGGGAGGGGAGGGACAGGAAGGTAAAGATGGAAGGAGGGGGGGGCGGGACAGAGGAGAAGCACAACCCCAAAGAACCACATATATGGAGGGTTTGATGGGATACCGGCACTGTTTGATGAGATGGGCTGTACAACTACATACAATATATACATGTATTTGTATGTGTTATATTCCATAAAAATAGAGAGCTGGGGGG